GCATTTTTCAATGAACTAGAGCAAATAGTTCTAAAATTCATATGGAACCACAAAAGATCCTGAATAGCCAAAGCGATCCTGAGAAGGAAGAATAAAGCAGAGGGAATTATGCTCCCTGACTTCAAGCTCTACTACAAAGCCACAGTAATCAACACAATTTGATACTGGCACAAGAACAGACCCATAGACCAGGAACTGAATAGAGAGTCCAGATATAAACCCAAGTGTATATGGTCAATTAATATACGATAAAGGAGCCATGGACATACAATGGGGAAATAACAGCCTCTTCAACAGCTGGTGTTGGCAAAACTGGACATCTACATATAAGAGAAAACTGGATTATTGTCTAACCCTGTACAAAAAAGTAAACTCAAAATGGATCAAAGACCTGAATGTAAGTCATGAAACCATAAAACTCATAGAAAAAAATATAGGCAAAAATCTCTTGGACATAAACATGAGCAACTTCTTCATGAGCATATCTCCCCAGACAAGGGAAACAAAAGCAAAAATGAACAAGTGGGACTACATCAAACTAAAAAGCTTCTGTACAGCAAAAGATACCATCAGTAGAACAAAAAGACATCCTACAGTATGGGAGAATATATTCATAAATGACATAGCCGATAAGGGGTTGACATCCAAATTGTATAAAGAGCTCATGCACCTCAACAAACAAAAAGCAAATAATCCAACTAAAAAATGGGCAGAGGATCTGAACAGACACTTCTCCAAAGAAGAAATTCAGATGGCCAACAGGAACATGAAAAGATGCTCCACATCGTTAATCATCAGAGAAATGCAAATTAAAACCACAATGAGATATCACCTCACACCAGTAAGGATCACCACCACCCAAAAGACAAACAACAACAAATGCTGGCGAGGATGTGGAGAAAAGGGAACCCTCCTACACTGCTGGTGGGGATGTAAACTAGTTCAACCACTGTGGAAAGCAGTATGGAGGTTCCTCAAAAAACTCAAAATAAAAATACCATTTGACCCAGGAGTTCCACTCCTAGGAATTTACCCTAAGAATGCAGCAGCCCAGTTTGAAAAAGACATATGCACTCCTAAGTTTATCGCAGCACTATTTACAATAGCCAAGAAATGGAAGCAACCTAAGTGTCCATCAGTCGATGAATGGATAAAGAAGAGGTGGTATATATACACAATGGAATATTATTCAGCCATAAGAAGAAAACAAATCCTACCATTTGCAACAATATGGATGGAGCTAGAGAGTATGCTCAGTGAAATAAGCCAGGCAGAGAAAGACAAGTATCAAATGATTTCACTCACCTGTGGAGTATAACAACAAAGAAAAAAGTGAAGGAACAAAACAGCAGCAGATTCACAGAACCCAAGAATGGAACAAAGGGAAAGGGACTGGGGAGGATGGGTGGGAAGGAAGGGATAAGGGGGGAAATGGGGCATTACGATTAGCACACATAATGTAGGGGGGGTGGGAATGGGAAAGGCAGTACATACAGAGAAGACGAGTAATGATTCTACAACATCTTACTATGCTGATGGACAGTGACTGTAATGGGGTATGTGGGGGGGACTTGATAATAGGGGGAGTCTAGTAACCATAATGTTGTTCAAGTAATCGTACATTAATGATATCAAAATAAAATACAAAAAAAAAGAAACAGAACAAAAGGAAAAACTCTTAGTAAAGATTAAGAATTGTTTTGTCAAGTTTTCAACTGGATTTCAAAAATTATATTTAGTAAGAAAAGAAAGTCACACATGATTAAGTATAATTCAATTTAGATATGATGTCCAAAGAGGTAAAAAAATTAGTTTTAGATATTTATTTATAGGTTATGAAAACCATTTTTAAAACACAAGGAACTATTAATATAGAATTCAGGACAGTGGTGATCTCTGCAAGGAAAGGAGAGGGGGATGTATTTTGAAGGGGCATACTTGAGCTATACAATTTTTAAAATACAGTTTGTATAAATTATATACCAGTATTTTGCAGTATAGATAGAAAGTATAAGGATTTCTTGCCTTTGATATGCACTAGTCCAGAAAAGGATGGAGGTAGCTAGCCTGACTCAATAGGGGAGATGTCTTATTTGGAATAATGGTACTTAAAAATTAAGTTGGGAGGAAAGAGATAGATAAACCTCAGAAGAAGGTTCAAATGGATAAAGTTGGGTCTATGGGAAATCTTTAAAAAATAGACAAAGCAATACTATATATTGTATATGGGTATGGATACATGAAGGAAAAATACAAAACACAAATTACCCCAAATTCATGAAAATAAATTTCTAAGGATAGGAAAAGAAGGGGGTGGGCACAGGAGGAAAACAAGAGGCAAACTTTACCTGTACTGTTTTATTTTAAAATAAAGATGTTAATACATGGTAATTCTGAATGATGTGTACATGATAGGTATTTCTTACATTAGCCTCTATATTTTTCTATTTCTATTACAACCTTGTTTGTAATACCAAAGTATTGAGATTAACCTAAAATGTCCACCAAAAGGACTAGTTATATATATGTATATATATATTATAGTGATACATAGTATACATATGTAATTTTTAAAAATAAAAAATTAAGGTAGTCGTGGCCAAGTGGTTAAGGTGATGGGCTTGAAAAAATTAAAAATTAAATAAATTTTTATATATCGATATGAAGAGTACTCAAAATTATGCTAAATAAAAGAGATTAGATGCAGATTTATATTAAATGTACTAAAAACATACATATTTATATTAAATATACATACTAAAATTACATATTTATATAAATACATAAACTATATAGTATTAAATACATATTTATATTAAAATGTGTGTGGGTATCTAAATACATTTAGAACATCTCTGGAAAGAACACAAGAAATCAAAGAGACAAGAGTAGAAGGGAGCTTTACTTTGTACTATATTCATCTGTATATTCAAGTTTTATACCACATATTTATATCACCTATTTTTTTTAATTCAAACTACATATAGCATGATACATAATACAATGCAATATGCAATACATAACAATGTACAGTAGTTTCCTATTATCCGCGCTTTTGCTTTCTGTGGTTTCAGTTATGTGTGGTCAACTGTGGTCCAAAAGCACACAATTCTCCTTCTGACGTATTGTCAGAAGGTCAACAGTAGCCTAACACTACAACACAATGCCAATGTCATCCACCTCACTTCATCTCATCATGTAGACAGTTTATCATCATAAGAAGGGTAAGTACAGTACAATAAGACATTTTGAGAGCAAGGAAGCACATTCACACAACTTTTATTGCAGTATACTGTTATAATTGTTTTATTTTATTACTGTTGTTGTTAATCTCTCACTGTGCCTACTTTGTAAATTTTTTCAAAGATATGTATGTACAGGAAAAAATATAGGGTTCAGTACTACCCACAGTTTTAGGCATCCACTCGGATGTCTGAAATGTATCCCCTGTGGATAAGCATAATAGCATTTTTGAAAAGCAAAATTTATATATGCCTAGAAAAAAATTTTGCAGATGTAACAATTTAACAGTGTTTATATCTGAAAGATACAATTTAGGGACCTTTTAATTTTTCCATAATGTATTTCCATAATGTTTAAATTTTTCACAGTGGATATATATTACTCATGTTATGAAAAATGTATGTATTTTTAAATATTTGAAATAGATAAATGTCAATCTTCTCTTTGAATTAATGAAATATTTACATTGATTCCCTATTAAGCTTTGTGTGATAGACATGGCTTTTCTTTCCCAAGTTGAAGGAAGGGTTTTTTTTTTATTAAAAAATTTCAAAAATTTTGGTTCTTTTTCTTAGCAGGAGATTTTTGTATTAGCTAAGAAGATAATCTACTATATATTCTTCTCCATTCATCATAAATTGTTTTAACTTTTCTTTCTAAAAACTCTTCTTGTACAATCATTTGTACCTGAATAATATTAAATATTGAAAGTATTTTCACTGAAAGAGGATTGGAGTTATGTTTTTCTTGTCATGTCTCAAATACTTTTTTGATACTTTTTACTCTGACATATTTTACAACAAGAATTTATAGGCAGGGAGCAAATATGGAGAGCTGCCGATTCAAAGGAGTATTTTATTTATCTTAAATATATATTATAAATAGGGTCTAAAGGGAAACATTTCACCATAACAAGTGTTTTCTCTTAAGAAACAAATGAAAAATAAAATCTGCTTTCAGGTTATACTGTTAAAATTTATTAATCATGATGAGTGACATCTATTGCAGTTCCTTGTTTCCTCAAAAATAAACTAAAATGACATCTAGAAAAAGTCTCTCTCCCTAAGCTAGCCCACTGGGCCTAGGCCTACAAAATACATTAACCTATACTTTTTCCTACCTATAAGTATTTATCCCAGGACACCAATCTGAACAGCATGTGCAACAGTGACAGATACTAGCAGGCCTGGAACTAGGAGAAAGCCACAATGCCAGACTGGTCATCGGCAAAGAATTCTCATACTTCCATTCTTTTTTTTTTTTTCCTCCCATATTCCTTATACTTCATTTGGAAGAAAAGTGTTGAAAACAGACAAGAGAACTATAGAGAAGTAATGTGGTAATGGTTAGGACATAACAGTCCAGAACAAATTAAAAGGAACAGGATCAGGCAGCAAACTCCTAATTGTAGGCTGCTACAATTTCAATCACTACCATTTGGAGAATAGATTTCCATATCCTTTTTCTCTCCTCATCTTTTTTCTCTTCCACCTTCTCATCTCTCAACCACCCTATCTTCCCCACCTATGCCTCGTTGTAAAAAGAATCATCAAGATCTGACCTATATCTCAACAGTGTCTCCCTCTGCTGTATCTTCCTATTACAGAATCTCCTCCATTCCAGGGGAAGGCTTTATCTCAATTTCAAAGTCATCTGCCACAGTCAGTATTCTACAGCGAGCGACTCACAGCCAGAAAATGGAAATTCTGACCTACTAAAAGAAAGAACAAACTATAAAAAGGGCTATAGTCACTTACCACGAACCTGCTTTTTTATTTCTTTGGCAGAATCCAGCCATGTCTGTAAAAAGAAGAAAAGGCACTCACACAGAGCTCCAAAACACATAAACCACAGAGTACCAAAAGTAGGATTACTGACCATCTTCAAATAGTGCCTCCAGGTCAACCTACTACAGATATTCTCTGCATTAATTTCACAAAGCATAGTGATTTTGAGCAGAGAAATAGGAAACCAGATAGTGGGGCTTGAATCCTCACTCCACTACTTCCAAGCTGAGTGACTTTAGGCATCTCTGTACCTCCGTTTCCTCATTTATTAGAGGAAATTAAAATGTGAAAGTAGTAGTAGTAGTAGTAGTGCTTATCTCACAGTTACTGTGAAGACCAAATGAGTTATTATCTGCAAACCTCTTAGTAAATAAGAAATGCTACATAGTACTTGTTTGTTTTTTTAATTCTGTAAAGACTAGTGAAAATCAATAACCAGGATTTTTTGACATCACCCAGATCTTATTTTTCCCAACTGTGACATCAGGTCTCATTTAAGTTTTCTGTCAGCCAGCATCTGACACATGGTTTGTACTCAGTTAATGTTTACTGAACGAATGACCACTTTGTTTTCCCTGACTACTCTTGCCTACTCCCTTCACTGTTCCCAAACCCACTTAAGGAGTCTGCACCCCACTAGGGCAGGAGTTCTCAACCTGTGGTGGACAGTGCAAAATAATGGCACTTAAAAGGAGCCTCACCATTAACATCTTTCATAGGCTCTTAGGAAATGTTTAAATACAGGAATTTCTAAACTGAACTGTTTAAAATATTTTTATTGATATGAGAAATGTAGAAAAGTACATAAAATATAAAGTATAAAGACCCATACATTATCAAAGTGGACATATAAGTTTAATATTACCAGCATCCCACAAGTCCTTCTCATGCTCCTCCCAATTCCTTCCTATGCTCTCCTCCAAAAGATTTAAAATTGAATTTTAGTGGTATTTAGAAAAAGGGGAGTAAGATGCCCCCTCCTCACCCTTTACCAACAAGGGCAAAAAGCACAGGGTGAGCATCCCATTTGCCCTACCCAAAGAACGGGCTGGAATGCAATCTCACATTTAATTATTTACTACTTTAACTGCTGCATATAGTTAACACCACAGACAAGAAACACAAGAGAACTGATTTCTCTTTTTACTTTCCCTGCCCCCTGCAACTAACACAGAATATTAAGAAATATATGTTTAAAAATACTACTTAATACAAAATTGTTTTTTAGCATAAAAACTAAGCAGACAATTGCTTAAGCCCTGTCAGAAAGGTAGTAATCTTCACCTCTCATTAATACTAAAGAACCTTAAATTGTAGGTCCAAAGGCAAAGGACGACTTTAAAAGCACCAATTGATCTACTTCGGCATGAACATCTTCCCACCATAAGGCAACTCTATATTTTACATTATGTTTAAGAGAAATCTCCGAAGGTTACCTGAAGCTGCTAAGTTCTTTACAGGGATTCCATAAGCCATTCTATGACTCTGGGGCTAGAATACCACCAATTTTCTCATATATAAAATTGGGATAAAACTATCCTCCTCACAGTTATTGTATATTAAATCATTTGATACATATAAAAAACACATAGCCAGTCCTCAATATATTGTACTGATACTGATAATCAAAAGGGCCTGACAGGATAATGTCTATGGGATAGAGAAGAAAGACAGTTAAGAGCTATGACTGAGTAGATGGTGTATGGGGGAGGGTGGGCTGATGATGTGAGTTGGTAAGATATAATAGTAAAGGATAATTCCCAAGTTGCTGGCTTGGTTAACTGTGGTACTGTTCATTGCAATAGGAAATGTAGGAAAACAACAGATTTTCATGAAGAAGAAAAAAATAGAAAAAAACTATAAACAACCCAAATGTCCATCAATAGTAGAATAAATAATTGTGGTGCATTAATATAGATATATATTTATGGTATCTGGATATCCAAGTAGAACATTTCAACAGGTAGCTGGATAAGCAGGTCTGACACTCAAAAGAGACAGCTGGATTGGAGATAAAAAACTGGGGCACTTTTCCATATAGATGATAGATGAAACTATTAAGTAGATAAAAATCACCCAGGGAGGCCCGCCCGCTCCGCTGCCACCTTGGTGCGTGCAGCTCGGTGGAGGGTCCGGGCCAGTGCTCTCTCCTCCTCCTTCCCCGCCTCCCGCTGCCAGCAGGCCTCGTCTCCTGCTGCCGCTGGGACCCTGTCATCACCCACCCCAAGCACGATGCCCCCCAAAAAGGGAGGTGATGGAATTAAAGCACCCCCAATCACTGGAAGATTTGGAACCTCCTTGGAAATTGGTATTGTTGGATTACCAAATGCTGGGAAGTCTACCTTCTTCAGTGTATTAACCAATAGTCAGGCCTCTGCAGAAAACTTCCCATTCTGCACTATTGATCCTAATGAAAGCAGAGTACCTGTGCTGGATGAAACATTGGACTTCCTTTGCCAGTACCACAAACCAGCAAGCAAAATTTCTGCCTTTTTAAATGTAGTGGATAAGGATATACAAACAAGTCCTTGTGAAAGGACCTCATAATGGGCAAAGCCTGGGAAGTGCCTTTTTCTCTCACATTAGTGCCTATGATGGAATCTTTCATTTACCACATGCTTTTGAAGATGATCACACATGTTGAAGGAAGTACAGATCCTATTTGAGATGTTGAAATAATACATGAAAAACATCACCTTAAAGATGAGAAAATGATTGGGCTCATTATAGATAAACTAGAAAAAGTGCCTGTGAGAGGAGGAAGGAGATAAAAAACTAAAACCTGAATATGACATAATGTGCAAAGTCAAATCCTGGGTTAGAGATCAAAAGAAACCTGTTCCCTTCTAACATGACTGGAATGACAAAGAGATTGAAGTGTTGAATAAAAACTTATTTCTGATTTCAAAACCAGTGGTCTACTTGGTTAATCTTTCTGAGAAACACTACATTAGGAAGAAAAACAATTGGTTGATAAAAATGAAAGAGTAGGTGGACAAGTGTGACCCAGGTACCTTGGTCATTCCTTTTAGTGGGGCTTTGGAACTCAAACTGCAAAAACTGAGTGCTGAGGAGAGACAGAAGTATCTGGAAGTGAACATACACAAAGCGCTTTGCCAAAGATTATTAAGGCCGGGTTTGCAGCACTCCAACTAGAATACTTTCTCACTGCAAGCCCAGATGAAGTGCGTGCATGGACGATCAGGAAAGAGACAAAGGCTCATCAAGCTGCAGGAAAGATTCACACAGATTTTGAAAAAGGATTCATTATGGCTGAAGTGATGAAATATGAAGATTTTAAAGAAGAAGATTCTGAAAATGTGGTCAAGGCTACTGGAAAATACAGACAACAAGGCAGAGATTACATTGTTGAAGATGGAAATATTATCTTCTTTAAATTTAATACACCTCAGCAACCAAAGAAGAAATAAATTTTAGTTATTCCTCAGATAAACATACAACTTCCAAAAGGCATATGATTTTTTTTTTAAATTAAAATTTCTGAAAACTGAAGGGACAAATAAAGTTGGGGCGATGGGAATCATCTACAAAAAGAATTTTTTAAATTTGTTTTAAAATTAATGTGTATCTCCAATAAAATGCAAGTTCACTAAATGTGAACAGCTTTGCTTTTCATGTGATTAAGACCCTACTCTAAATAGAATACTTTCTCACTGCAAGCCCAGATGAAGTGCGTGCATGGACGATCAGGAAAGAGACAAAGGCTCATCAAGCTGCAGGAAAGATTCACACAGATTTTGAAAAAGGATTCATTATGGCTGAAGTGATGAAATATGAAGATTTTAAAGAAGAAGATTCTGAAAATGTGGTCAAGGCTACTGGAAAATACAGACAACAAGGCAGAGATTACATTGTTGAAGATGGAAATATTATCTTCTTTAAATTTAATACACCTCAGCAACCAAAGAAGAAATAAATTTTAGTTATTCCTCAGATAAACATACAACTTCCAAAAGGCATATGATTTTTTTTTTAATTAAAATTTCTGAAAACTGAAGGGACAAATAAAGTTGGGGCGATGGGAATCATCTACAAAAAGAATTTTTTAAATTTGTTTTAAAATTAATGTGTATCTCCAATAAAATGCAAGTTCACTAAATGTGAACAGCTTTGCTTTTCATGTGATTAAGACCCTACTCTAAATTGTAGAAGCTTTTCAGGAACCATCTTACTCTCATGATACTTCATTAATCTCCATCATGTATGCCAAGCCTGACACATTTGACAGTGAGGACTATGTGGCTCGCTCCATTTTGAATCTACAGAGAATGCATGTTTTACAGTACTCCAGATGTCCACACTCAATAAAACATTTGACAAAACAAAACAAAACAAAAAATCACCCAGGGAACATACAGTAGAGTGAAAAGAAAGAAACCAAAGGAAGACTTTTGGGGAACACTTGCATTTAAAGGATTGAGAAAAGACAAAACTGAGAAGTAAACTGAGAGAGAGTGACGGAAGTGGTTGGAGAACAGCAAAACTGGTATCACAGAACCCAAAGGAAAGAAAGTTTCAGGGATTTTTAGACAAGATCATCAATGCTGCAAAATGAACAAGTAACAGGAAGATGAAAAACTCTCAGCTTTATCTTGGCAAAACTAGTTTCAGCAGTGATGCATAGAAGTCAAAATGCTTGAGTTCTATACCAAGTACAGGTGAGGATGTGGCACAGCTGGAACTCTCAGTCAGTGCAGGGGAGGTGTCAACTGGTAACACCAGTTTGACACTATCTTTAAAATCAAACATAATGCATTCTCTGTAACCCAGCAATTTTATTCCTAGGAATACACCTACAGAAATGTGTATGACAAGACAGGCACTAAAAGACATGTACAAGAATGTTCCTAGCAGCAGCATTCAGAAAAGTCCTAAACTATACACAAGCCCAGTGTCCATCAACAGTAGAATGCATAAACAGAGTATGGCATAAACAATGAACTATTATTCAGAAATGAAAATGAATTACTGCTACTTACAACATGGATGAAT